ATAATATTGTGTGCTGTATTGCTCAGTTGTTATTAACATTTACATGATTTATATAATAAAAATTGTGTGATATAATTGCATTGGGAAGATGGGTGCATAAAAAGTGTGTCAGTGTTTGTGGAAAAGAGCTAAATAATATGTCATAACTAAAAACTGTCAGACTTTTGGTTTGGTAGATTAGCTCATTGTATAGTATCAGTGTTAATTTTCTGGTTGTGACTAATTGCACTATGGTTATATAAATTATTAACATTAGGGAAAGCTAGGTGAAGGGCATATGAGGACTTTGGCTATATTTGCAACTTTCTCTAAGTGTAGGATTAATTAATCATAAGAAGTTTAAAAAGTCAGTTAATTAACCATCTGTATGTCTTTGCAGAAATGTTTGTTTAGGTGGGTGGGGTGAATTGAAAAAGTAGCATTGAGACATTAATTACCATATGTAATCTAGATAGCCAGTGGGTATTCACTATATGATGCAGAGAGTTCATACCTGGTGCTCTGTGACTGCCTAGAGCTGGTGGGGTGGGTTGGGAGGTGGAAGGGGAGGTTCAAGAGGGAGGGGACATATGTATACCTATGGTATGGCAGAAACCAGCAGAGTGTTGTAAAGCAATTATCCTCCAATTAAAAATAAATAAAATAAATTAGAAAACAAGAAACAGCAACAACAAAAAAGTTGAGTTCTTGGCTCTGGAGAGTAATAGAGAGTTGGGGATTATTGACATTTAGTAATAATTTTTATTGTACTACTTGACTCTTTTATCATTATGCATATGTTATTGAAGAAAACAGAAAGTAGAATGAAGTCCAAAGCAGAATGAAAGAAAGTTGTCACTCTGAAAATTTAACTTGGATGCTTTGGAAAGAATTGATGAAGTTTATGTGGGAAAGAGTCCTATTGCCAAATTAGCTATGGGGAAGATTGAGCTTGTTAGTTTAGTCAGAAGTTACAGAGGGAAGCCGTAAAGAAATATATGCATTCTTAAACATTTTAGCTTGGAACAGTAAAATGCATTCTTATTCAACATTCTTTTAATGAAGGGCCATAGCTTTTTCTTTGTGTGAAGTAAAGTCACTCAGTTGTGTCCAACTCCTTGCCACCCCATGGACTATACAGTTCATGGAATTCTCCAGGCCAGAATACTGGAGTGGATAGCCTTTCCCTTATCCAGGGAATCTTCCCAACCCAGGAATCGAACCCAGGTCTCCCATATTGCAGGCGGATTCTTTACCAGCTGAGCTATCAGGGAAGCCCTTTTCTTTGTGTCGGGATCCAATGAATAGAGTTCAGTAATGGATTTCTTATATAAACCATGCCTATATGTTTTATACATTATTTTAAATTTCAACCTCTTCAAAGAGGAGAAAGAACTGAAGACTATATGATAAAATCTGAATATGTAATTCTGCTAGATTTTTATGATTTTGTCCTAAACTTTTAGCCCAGTACTTGTCTAAGGTATATAAGATAAGAGGGCTTCTTATATACTTTGTTATGGTGAAGAAGTAGGATATGGTAGCAAGAATGACTGAAGGCATGACTGCACAGATGGTTTGATAAAAGAAACTATATAAGTCTTTTGCCACATGAAGTGTATTTTCTTTGTTTTGTTGTGAGCATAAGTAGTACATGGTTTTCTCTTGAGATTAATACACTTTCTTGTCTCAGATTAGAGAGTCAGGTTTTTTTTTTTCTTTCTTTTATTGTGGTAAAAAACACATAACTTAAAATTTACCCTCTTAACCATTTTTAAGTGTACATTGTTCAGTCACTTCGTCGTGCCTCCGACTCTGTGACCCTATTGACTGCAGCACGCCAGGCTTCCCTGTCTGTCTTCATGTCCCGGAGCTTGCTCAAACTCATGTCCGTTGAGTCAGTGATGCCATCCAGCCATCTCATCCTCTGTAATCCCCTTCTCCTCCTGCCTTCAATCTTTCCCAGTATCAGGGTCTTTTCAAATGAGTCAGCTCTTTGCATCAGGTAGCCAAAGTATTGGAGCTTCAGCTTCAGCATCCGTCCTTCCAATGAATATTCAGGACTGATTTCCTTTAGGATGGACTGGTTGGATCTCCTTGCAGTCCAAGGGACTTTTAAGAGTCTTCTCTAACACTGCAATTCAGTGGTATTAAATATATTTATATTGTTCAACCATCACCACCAACTATCTCCATAGTTCTTTTCGTCTTGTAAAACTGAAACACTCTGCCCATTAAACAGTACTCTCTATTGCCACTTCCCCATGCCTTTGTCAACCATCATTCTACTTTCTATCATTTCGACTACTTTCAGTATCTCGTTTAAGAGGAATCATACAGTATTTCTCTCTTTTTTTTTGCGGCAAACTTACTTTACTCAGCATAATGTTCTCATGGTTCATCCTTTTGTAGCATGTGTCAGAATTTTCTTCCTTTTTTTGAGGCTTAATAATATTCCATTGTATACCTATAGCACATTTAGCTTATCCATTCATTCATTAATGGGCACTTGGTTTGTTTCCACATTTTAACTATTGTGAATACTGTTGCTATGAACACAAGTGTACAAAAATCTCTTCAGGACACTGAGGCTCTGCTTTCAATCCTTTTTGGGTATATACTAGGAAGTAGAATTCCTGGATTGTGTGGTAATTCTATTTTAACTTTTTGAGGAACTCTTATTATTTTCTGTAGCATTTCCATTTTACATTCCTGTGAATAGTGCACAAGGGTTCCCATTTGTCTGTATTCTTGCCAATTGTTGTTATTTCCTGTAGGTTTTTATTTTTTATATTTTGATGGCAGCCATTCTAATACTGTGAGGTGATCTCTCATTGTAATTTTGATTCACATTTTAATAACAGTCAGTGATGTTGAACATTTTTTCATGTGCTTATTGTCCATTTGTAGATCTTCCTTGAAGAAATGTCTATTCACTTCCTTTGCCCATTTTTGAATTTTGTTGTTTTATTGAGTTTTAAGAATTTTCTCTATGTTCTGGTTATTAATCTCTATAAAATAAATGATTTACAAATATTTTCTCCCATTTTGTGGATTGCCTTTTCACCCTATTGATATTGTCTCCCGATGCACAACAGTTACAAACTTTCATGAACTCCAGTATGTCTATTGTTTCTTTTGTCGCCCTTGTTTGGTGGTGTATCCAAGAAAGCCTCACCAAATCCAACAGCATGAAACTCTTGCCCTGTGTTTTCTAAGAGCTTTATAATTAATAGCTCTTCCATTTAGGGCTTTGACCCATTTTGAGTTCATTTTTTGTGTTAGGTAATGGTCCAACTTCACTCTTGCATTTGGATATCCCAATTTTCGCAGCTTTTCTCCCACTGAATGATTTTGGTCTCCTTGTGAAAAAATCGTTTGACTATATAAGTGAGAGTATATTTTTGGAGTCTCTATTCTATGCCATTGGTTTATATGTCTGCCTTTATGCCAGTATCCCACTGTTTTGATTGCTATAGCTGTGTAGTAAGTTTTGAAATAAGAAAGTATGAGTCCCCAAGCTGTGTTCTTCTTTTTCAAGATTGATTTTCATATTGGGGATCCCTTGAGATTCCATCTGAATATCAGGATGGGTTTATTTCTGCAAAAAATGTCAACAGCATTTTGATAAGGATTGCACTGAATCTGACTTTGGGTAGTATTGCCATCTTAATGTTAAGACTTCCAGCTGATGAACACGGGATGTGTTTTTATTTTTGTCTTCTTTCATTTCTTTCAGCAATATTTTATAGTTTTAGTTTAACAAGTCTTTTATCTCCTTGATTAAGTTAATTCCAAAGTATTTATTCTTCTTGATGCTGTTATAAATGGGATTTTCATAATTTCCTTTTAAAATTGTTCATGTGTATAAGAAAGAAAGTGATTTTTAAATTTTAACTTTGTATCTTCTACTAGATTTACTTATTAGCTCCAATAGTTTTCTTTGTGGAATCTTTAGGGTCTTATATATAAGATCATAATATCTGTGAAATGAGGAAACTTTACTTCCTCCTTTGCAGTTTGCATGCTGTTTATTTCTTTGTCTTGCCTCATTGCTCTGACTGTAACTTTCAGTATTATATTGAGTAGTAGTGGCAAAAGTGGGCATCCTTGTCTTACTCCTGATCCTAGAAGAGAAACATTCAGTCATGTATTATTGAGTACTATGTTGCTTTGGGTTTTTCACATTTGGCTTGTATTATGTTGAGATTTGAAGTAAGAAACTGATGGACAGAATTACTTATTGAGGCTATTTTTTAGAACACTTGAAAATTATAGATGAAGTGTTTCTGAAACTATATCACACCTGTTTTTAGATGTTGCATCTGTTGAGTGTGTTAGTTGTATGCTTGGTATGATGTTTGCAAATTGAGGTGTATTAATTTAACAGTAGCAATATGAGTAGTTTTGTTGTTTTTCAGTTGCTAAGTCCTGTCTGACTCTTCAGGACCCCATGGACTGCAGCACACGAGGCTTCCCTGTCCTTCACTCTCTCCCAGAGTTTGCTCAGACTCATGTCCATCGAGTCAGTGATGCCATCCAACTATCTCATCCTGTCACTTCATTCTTCTCCTGCCCTCAGTCTTTACCAACATCAGGGTATTTTCTAATGAGTCGGCTCTTCACATCAAGTGGCCAAAGTATTGGAGCTTCATCTTCAGCGTCAGTCCTTCCAGTGAATATTCAGGGTTGATTTCCTTTAAGATTGACTGGTTTGATCTTACAGTCCAAAGGACCTTCAAGAGTCTTCTTCAGCACCACAGTTGAAAGTGTCAATTCTTTGGCACTCAGCGTTCTTTATGGTTCAACTCTCACATCCATTCATGACTGCTGGAAAAACCATAGCTTTGACAATACAGACCTTTGTCAGCACAGTGATGTCTCTGCTTTTTAATACACTGTCTAGGTTTATCATAGCTTTTCTTCCAATAGCTTAGTTATATTTTTAATTTGACACTGTTTGATGATTATGTTTATGTATAGTGACTTGCTCTTCTAAAAGACGTTTTTTTCTATTTCAGGCAACTTCATGCGGCCTCTTTTGAATTATGGTATTGCTTGGTGAGCATATTTTTTTTTTACTTTATTTTAGTTTTCAGAATAATATTGATTACCTTATGTAATTTAGTTGTATTTTTGGTTTCCTTCTGCAGCATGTCCATGGGCTTCCTGGTTGAAGAGACTGCCCCCCTTGTTTGGAGAGGTCTTATGGTAATGTCAGCCATTGAGAAACTATTGAGGCAGGTAATAAAATTGCTTTAAGTAGAATTTTTATTATGGGTACACTGTGGTAAATATTTGCTGATTGAGGGGTCATTAAAGTTTCCAGTCATGTTTGAGGTGTTTTGCAAAAGAATCCAGTTGATAGACTGAGTTTATAATGAGTTATGTGGCGCCAAGACCAAATTCCACTGTCATGTGATTGAATCTTTCCCATTGCTTATTAGTGCTAATTTCTAATGTCTTATTTTATGTTGTTCTGTTTCTCTCTTCAGACTCTGTTGAGTCTGCAGTACAATGAGGATGTCTATTTTATAAGTAATCTGTCTTCTTTAGATTTATGATTAATTTCATTGTGGCCATATTGAGTTACAAGGGCATTGTAGAAATTCCTCAAATGTAGAAAAAAATTATTTAAGCCACCGTGTTTATGATTTAAAATTGCTTCAGAAGAAAATGGAATTTTATTTTACTCTGAGTACATATGGCTATATATTTATATATATAGTAACTGTCCAATCAACTTTAATTTATCCTTAAGGAAGAGAACATTTGATTGGATAATCTAAAAATATCAGATGGGCTCTGTGTTATTTATAGAAATAAATTTCATTTTTTTCTTAGTTGCTGTACATTTATAGTTAATTATCTTCTAGGTTATAAGTATTTTGCATTTTCTCCACTGACTCACAACAGTTACCCCTTATTTATTCACGTTTTACTTTAGGTCAGGCACCATGCCACAGGTTAACAATTCTAATCATAGGTACTCCTATATTAATTTCCAGTTGTTAAAGTAAGTAGATATTTCTTGAACTCTGAAACTCTTCTCTTTCCCCTGTAACATCTTGTCTTATTTTTCTGCTACTTGAGTTCTGATAAATTTGCTTTCTGATCTTTGTTCCCAGAATCTTTCTATTTTCCCAGCACATTTAAGTCTCTTGGCTACATTTCTTTCTCTTTTACACTCAGATCCCATAGTTGGTTATTTCAGTTATACTCCTAACAACATCCTGTCCATTCTGTGATCTTGACCTTTATTTTTGTGGATTAAACCAGCTTTTTTTTTTCCCTTTAAGGAAATTTTAAAACAATTTTGATTCAGTTTATAATTAGAGTCAATGAAAATTTGGAAACAGAAGGAGAATTCTGATTTAATATTGTTGACTGATAAAAAAGTAAAACCTATAAGTTGAGAATTATTTTTTATTTGGTGGGCAAAACTGAGGACTTAATCCTGGGATGCAATCTCTCAGATAACTCTAAGTGACTGCTTTGAAGTGGTAAGGGAGTGTTGTAGCCACGCGTTCTGGGAAACAAACTCTCTCAGAAGGACAATGCAGTTAGTGAAGTGCAGTTTATTACACTGGCAGGCCCAAGGCAGAGTCTCCTCTTAGCCAAGGACACCAACCAGCATTTCTGAAAATCTTTTATACCCCATGTGTATGTGTCTGAACCCACCACCCCAAATTCCTTGAGAGTTACATAAACTAAGGAAGGGTAAATACAACCCCAATAACCCCATCATTCATGTGCCATGTGCTCAGACAGTTAAACAATTAGCCAATAATCAGTAAGCACGAGGTTACACTCCAATAGGTACAGAAAAATTTATGGCCTGTCTGGAGGAAGGGGTGATTAGTGTATGTTCTCTTAGGCGATGAGTAACCTGGATATGATCTTCAAGATTCCCCTGTCCGGAGGGAGACTTATCCTTCTGATGTCATTTCCACAGACATTAAACACAGAGTGCAGAGTCCATTGGAGAGGTGGCCGAGCATGATCAGCATGAACAGGCCTGAGATGGAGTCCAGGCCCTAAGAATTCCTTCTTCAGGAGGAGCCAAGATATATGAGTTTTTGCAGCAAAGTTTTCCAGGTAGTCAGAACGTCAAAAGATTACCGTTAATTTGGGGAGAATGGATACATGTATATTTATGGCTTAGTTCCTTTGCTGTCCACCTGAAACTCTTTCAACACTGTTAATTGGCTATACTCCAGTATAAAATACAAAAGTTAAAAAAAAATTACTATTACTAAAGAAAACCACATATCTCAAGTTAAGGAATTTAGTGCCTGTTTCTGTACAGGAAGATGCAAGAGTTTGGGCCCACTGAAATCATCCCTCAGTTCTCTGCGGCCAGCATCCTGTGCTTTCTCCTTCTGAGCTTGCTCAGGGTGCGCCGTCCGGGTGGCTGCAGCAGCTGACAGACCGCCAGATGACAGGCATCCTGTTTCTATCCCGAGCTCCCTCAGGGCTGACAGTCCGGGGGGCTGCCGTGCAATGGCGTGATGGCTGCAAATCCTTTCTTTACTGATATGGCAGGCGACATTTTTTCCTTGTCATTATCAGTTTTGCCCCTCCTATGTTAGGGTTAGAAATCTCAACAGGAAATGATTCAGAATTCCTCCTAAGGCTTTATGGATGGCCACAAGAAGGTGGAAATTCTTCCACTTTCCACAGTAATCAGACACTTAGAGATTCAAGTCAGTGAGAAGAGACGCAGAACTACAGGCCAAAGGTTGGTGTTCTGAGGAGCATGCTTTGTGAAAATACAATAGCTGGTTAGATGCTCTGTGCAGGAGACACAGGAGACTCAGGTTCGATCGCTGGGTTGGGAAGATCCTCTCGAAAAGGAAATGGCAACCACTCCAGTATTCTTACCTGAAAAATCCCATGGACAGAGGAGCCTGGAAGGCTACAGTCAGCAATAAATTTCCTTCATTTCTTGATGCTCTATATAGCAGTGAATTGTGGAGGGTACCTGTTCATTGGCCAATTAAAAAAAAATTGAATATAACACATGTACAGAATATAACATGTATACATGTACGTAATGGTCCAGATAGATGGTTTATCCCGAAGAGAAAATACCTTTATACTCATCACTTAGGACAAAATAAATAGAATACCAATGTTTCAGATGCTCTTCTCCTATCTCATCCCAGATACTAATTTGTGGGGAGATGATAAGTACTTGTGGTCAGTCTGCCGTCTTGAGCTAAAATCTGTTTTAAAAGTTCTTTTTCCTTTCTTTCAAAGTTTCACTGAGTTAAACTTACAGATATAGTAGGATGCACATATCTTATGTATGGAGTTCAATGATTTTTTGATAAACATATATAACTAGGTAACCATACCCCAGTCAAGATAGAGAACATTTTTATCCCCCCCTAGAAAGTTTCCGTGGGCTCCCTTAGGCCATCACTGTTGTGATTTCTGTCACTCTGTGAGTTTTGTGTGTTCTTATACTTCATATAAAGGGAACCTTATAGTATAATTCCCTTTTGCATCTCATTTGTTTTTCTTAGCCTAATGCTTTAAAAATCATCCTTGTAGCATATATCAGTAGCTAAGGCCTTTTTATTGCTGAGTAGTAATTCCCTTGCATGAATATAACCCAATTTTGTTTATTTATTCTTCTGATGATAGACAATTGTGTAGTCTCCAGTTTTTGGCTATTATGAATAATGCTGCTGTAAATACTTATACAAGTATTCATAAAGATTCCAGTTGTTTCACATCTTTTGTGTGTGTGTTATCATTCTCTTCACTGGTGGCTGTAAAAATGATGTCTTCTGATGGTTTTAGTTTGTGCTACCCTGATGGTCAGTGATGTTAAGCCCCTTTTCATGTGCATGTTAGATATTGCTGTATCTTCTTTCATAAAGTGTGTGTTCAGGTCCTTCACTTTTTTTGGCTCATTTCTCTTCTTACAATTGAGTATTCTGGCTTTGAGTCCATTGTCAGAGACATATATTGGGAATATTTCTCCCAGTCTGTGGCTTGCCTTTTGATGAGCTGAAGTTTTAAATTTTCATGAAATCCAGTTTATCAAAAAATTATGTTTAATGCTTAGTGCTGTTTGTGTCCTCTGTAGGAAATCTTTGCCTGTCTACCCCAAGGTTGTAAAGATATTTTTGTATATTTCTTTTCTCTTAAAATTTATAGGTCTGGCTTGTTTATATTAATTTTCATGTGTGAAGTGAGATAATGATCAAGGTTTGTATTTTTCGTTGTTATGTGATAACAGGAAATACATTTATTCTTTGTCCTTTGGTCCTGACACAAAGCTCCCTAAACCCTTGGGATTTCCCGAGTGGTAGTTTGTCCTTTGTCATTCATAAGGAGCCCGTTGTTGACCACGCTGGCTGGTCCATGCTAGGGAGATGTCTTACGGTGGAATCTCTAGCTAACCTCAGATGGGACTGGTCACCAGAAGACCAAGTATTTAGAGAGTTAGAATTTTCCACCTCACCTGCCTACCCCTGGGAAGGGGATGTGGGGTGGATTGCAGATTAAACGCTGTAAAAACTCTTGAACGAGATTTGATGAGCTTCTGGGTTGTAAAACACATCTGTGTGCTGGGTGGGTTGTATACCCTAGCTCCATGGGGGCAGAAACCCATGCTCAGAGCCCTTCTGAACCTTGCCCTGTGTACTTACCACCTCTTCATCTGCCCTTTCATCTGTATCCTATACCCTTTATAATAAACTGGGAAATGTAACTAAACATTTCTCTGAGTTCTGTGAGCTGCTCAAGTACAATACAGGCACACCTAAGATATTTTAAGTTTGGTTCCAGACCAGTACAATGAAGAGAGTATCACAATAAAACCATTACACAAACTTTTTTGTTTCCCAGTGCACAAAGAGTTGTGTTTCATTGTACTTTAGTCTGTTAAGTATACAGTAGCATTGTGTCTAAAAAAAAATTATACATATCTTAATTAAGAAATACTTTATTGCTGGAAAGCATTAACCATCATCTGAGCCTTCAGCAAGTCATAATCTTTTTACAATAGTGACATCAAAGGTCAGTGGTCACAGGTCACAGTGACAAATACAGTAATAATGAAAAAGTTTGAAATATTGTAAAGATTACCAAAATGTCATGTAGAGACACAAAGTGAGTAAATGATCATGGGGAAAAATGGTCCTGGTAGACTTGCTTGATGCAGGTTTGCCACATACCTTCAATTTGTAAAAAATGCAGTATCTGTGAAGTATAATAAAATGAGATAT